TCGTAAAATATTTAATAACTTTCAACGAAAGCGCGAAAGCATTGAAGAAAACCAGAACTCAATTCGTTTGAATTGTAAAAGCGATGGAAACGCTATTAACGCCTGTTTTATAAACTCGTCGACAGATAACCATTCGTTAGGCAAACGAATGACTTATTCCATGAGACAAACGAAAGCTTACAAAAGACAGTTAGAAATGAGAAAATCACGCAATTCTTTGCCTAATATATCGCTTGCGGCCAATGGTGTCAACACTACTCCCAGAACTCATTCGTTAACATTCGTCTCGAGAGCCAAAATAAAAACCGTCAAAATAACTGTCGTTATAACCCTTTTCTATGTGTTGTGCTCTTTGCCATTCATTTGCGTCCAATTGTGGGTCCATTGGTTCCCACAAACACAGCATACATTCAACTCCAGTAAGTTATTGATTGTTACCTTGTTTTCTGCTAATGAGTTTGTGTTGTAATTTAATTATTGTTGTTATAATCCATATACAAGTATTAGTAAATAATATGTCGTGTTTGCTATGGTTTATCGCACCACATATGGCATGCATTTTTAATACTTAACAATCAAATTATTGCAATTCTCATATAAAGTAGCAAATTTATTATCAAATTCATTGCACTTAACAAATATAAATATTAATGTTGTTTAAATTCCATATTAATTCAAAAAATTTAATAAATATTTATTTTATAAATGTTAATTGAGTTTAAAAGACACGCAAATTATAACTTAGATATTGTAGGCATTTATTTCTCATATGCTGTATATTTTGAATGCAAATTTTGCTGAATATTCTTTTCAATTCATTATCAAGGATTTTAAATGCATTATTTTGATGTGAAAATTAATTATTTGCTTAGTATATGACACGTGAATATAAATACCATATATTAACTAACAATAAAAGTAAAAATAATTCACAATTCTTTATATGATTTCAAACACTCATAAAAATCAATACATTCTTGAAATACATTTTTAATGAAATGAAATTTAAGAAAAAATCAAATTTATTATATAGTATTTACTGATATTTAAAAATATTACTTATTTTCAAACAACAATAATTTAATTTATTTTTTATAAAAACGAAAAGAATTTAATTTAGAAATAGTTTTATTTTAAATAACATTTAATTGAATAATATATTCATTTCAATTGATTTATAATAAAAATTCTGTTTTAAGATTTATTATTAAGTGAGTTATTGCTCTCAAACTTGTTTATAAATTCATAGTATGTTTCTTTGTGTTTAATATTTAATAAAACGTTGTTATAACAGACACAGCATTAATAATTTTAATTTAAAATGTAACAAAATTTTTATATAAAAAGTATTATATAAGGAATTAATTTAATTACATGAAGCCTTTCTAACAAAAATAGATTATAGAGCATAATATTAAAATTTTTTAATAAAGTACAATATAACTAAAACCTAACTATAATGTCAATCATTGAAAATTATTATAAACACATATTTTAGTAAATATTTTTGGAAAGATTATAAAAGAAAGAAATTAAAGTAAAAAGAAAAGTTACAAAATATTGTATTTATGGTTAGATATGGATTTAAATAATAAATTGATAACACATTAAATAAAGCTATGAATTATGATGAATTAAAGATAATTAAAAAGTATTGGTTTTATGTGTAAATTGAATCTTTTATTATGAATTAATTTAATTTTTATCGCAATTAATCTTTTATGGAAACTTTTGTTGAAAGTAAATACCGTATAAAACAAACAAAAATTGTTTAGTAGGGAAGTAATTAATTAAATAATTAAACACGCTTTATATCACTTACATTTTAGTGAAATACATTGTTTTTCAAATAATTTTAGTTATTTTTTCAGTAAAAAATTATTTAATTATTTTTTAATCTTATAAATTGATTTTATATTAAATTCAATCATTATTTATTAAATTTTTTTTTGTATTACATATTAAGAAACTATTGTTTAGCCATTATTTTCAGATAACTGTGTAAATAACAAAGTATTATATGTTGCCTGAAATAAATACTTTCTTTTGTTTGTAACGTCTTTGTCAAACAATTACAGAATATTCTGTTAAACCATTAAAACACTATACAATTCTTATATTTTTTATTTACACATTTGTTTTTGAATGGAAACAAAGCGAAAGACATTAATCTTATTGTAAATAATAGATGTATTGTATGTTTTCTGTTACAAACGTAATGTATAGACTTTAAAGCATGAATAAAATCAAAAACTAAAATCCATTTTAAACACTGTTTTACTTGTCTTTCATTTTTAGGTACAATAATAACGATATTAATGCTGTTATCGAGTCTTAACAGTTCCATAAATCCATACATTTGTTTGTTTTTCAATAAAAATCTGATAAAATCTGTCAAAGAATTTCTTTGTCACCGAAATGTAAGGCATGAAGACATGAGAGGAGCGGCCGATCATGAAGTCAACGGCTTTTATAATCTCTACGAAACAAAAATAAGTTCACAAACAGAGGACACGTCTATGAGTTTAAAACATTGTCTCTCTTATCGACGATCACTGACTTATTCGCATAATTCGTCTTCAATTATAAAATCAGTTTTATGTCGAAATAGTTTATCTCAAATGTAATCCAATACTGAGAACAACATCGAGATCATAGACCCAGGGATTAACTGTGTATATATTGTATAGTACTTTAAAACTTTTACAATAACTAAATACAGAATATTCTCTATATTCAGAACATTGTATTATATACTTTATACAGTATATCTATTTAATTAACAGTATTTGTTGTATTATTTGTGTTCACTAACTATATATATATTTTTGTGAAAATAAATACTCTATTTATCTAATAGACTGAACAATAATAAAAGTAAGAAATTTTCTTTGAATGGTCGCATGACTTACATTATCATTATATAATGTAAGCTTTCATCTCTAACAATGTAAGAATCGACATTATATTGTAAGAATAATATTGTATTTCATTCAAAATCTAAAATATCAATAACAAAAGTATTTGAAAAAATAATTTTGTTTTGCTTCACTTAATATACAGTAAGTGTGTATTTTTGTTATTTATTATTGATTGTCAATGAAATGGCAATAATTCTTAAACATAACGTATGATAAGATGTGCTTAAGGACCGAGTTTTTGATATATTGTATACGTATATACATGTATATTATGCTAAAGACTAGACTTAAGACTATACTTATAGAATAAAGAATTGGTTCTTATGGTCTATACGTGTGTTTATTGTAAACACTTATAAAGCGATTCCATCGATGGATGATATAGTGTTTGGTAATTTAAAGTAGTTTGTATGGCATTATCAATGAATTGATTATTAATTGTGCTTCACTTAATATATACATTGTGTATAATTTGAGTGATGCCTCAAACCAAACAACAATATGAAGTGATGCTATCAATTGATGGCTAATACAGAAGTCGATGAATGATTGAAGCAATGAATGCAAATAAAAGGCAGAATCAGTATAATTATTATAGGAGTGTATGTTTGTTGTCATACATTTAATTAACAAATCATTAAGAAATCTATATATAAATTGCAAATAATAAATGTAAAATGAAGCCATGTTTGTGATTGATGTTTGCTATCATTTTTCCTGATCTAATAAAGGCATCCCTAGGAAAACAAATTTATTATAATCAAAAACATATGATGTCTTGCAAGGTATCTAATGAATATAAATAACCTTACTGCTTTGAGTTATAAATTACAACTTATAATAAATGGTAATATTATTACTTTTATTTTAAATTAAAATTATTATTTTTGGATAAAAGCAAAGCATTATAATTCAAAAACAGAAGTTTAAGAGATTGTAATTTTGCAATTCATCAATAAAAATATTTTTGTTATTTTATCGTCTAAAAATAGATAAATATTTTTACTGGAAATAATCAAGATTACAACAGAAATGCAAAAATATAAACAAGCACATTTATATTTACAATTTAAGTAATTGTGAAATTTGAGATTGCGAAACATGTATGTCGTTGTACTAAATGTGTGGTCATATACATTATTGTACCGTATATTGATCTATGATAAAAGCAATTTTCTATAAATTGGTCTGGGTAAAATTGATTTCCATTGTTTATCAAATTATAAAGTTTATTACTAGTGTTCCCTTTGGACAGGCAAAATTATAGCTAGGTTATATTTGTAAAATGGCTTTTATGCCATTAATTACATTAAAATAGCATTATTTCACAACATATGACTTATTGTTGTTAACCCTAAATAAAGTTATATTTTAAGTTTAAAGTAAATGTCAGAAATAGAAAAACATTAATATTTTTGAAGATTAAATGCTTTAAATCATGAAAATCTTAAATAAAATAATGTTTAAAATATGGACATTCGCTCGAAAGACATTTGTTCAAAATCAACTTGTTTGAAGGACACTTGATTACAATATTCATTTTTAATTTGATTTAATTTTTATAAATTTTATAAGTAAATAAAAAGTATTATTATAATTTTGGTTAAAATGAGTTAATTTGATTATTTAGATAATTTAGTCGTTATTTATTTGTATTAATTTCAAATTAATATTTTGAGAAGTGTTATAATCACGAAAATATACTTTTCTTAATTTTATTGCATTATGGCTTACATTGAGAGAGGCTTTAAAATTGTTATTTAATAAATATGTTTTTCTCCTTTTAAACGAATAACAAATAACAGTAACTGAATTCAATGTAAACACATTTAGTATATTTGTCTCAATTGACATTTCTTTCATTAAATAATATTAAACTAAATATAAAGCTAAAAATATTAGTTATTATTGTATTTTTGAATCAAATATAAGTAATATAAAGAATAATTTATAACTAATAATTAAGTTTATTTGCAAACATAATAACAGTTTTAATATTAATACAAACAAATGAAAACATATAATTATATCAATAATAATTATATAAAAATATAAATACATTAGACATGCATTCATTCAGAGCTCATAGTTTGTAATGACAGCCACTAATGCAGGAATCGGTGAAACAAATTTCTGTTTCGCTCTTTCGGTCACTATTTCTTCGGTACTTTTTGGCTCTTTTAATGCATTCCAAGCCTTTTCGTCCATATATTTGTCGCACTTCTCAATACTTTCAAACCGTCCGCACGTAAAATCCAACACATCGTTTGTCTTTGCAATAAAAGCATAGTTTAGTATAAAATGTACAAAATATTGATAATTCATTTCATGTCTAACAATGTAAGAATTACAAACAAGAAATCAATTTTTGCCAGACAAGTTTGTAAATTATTAATTGTGGACATAACAGTAATGTTCACAAATTACATTTTTACATTCATGTCATATCTATTGTATTATAAATTATAAATCAATCAAAATCACAGCTTATAATTACTCTGTCCTACAAAACGCTTTTTTTATACATAATTTTGCAGTAAATTTATTAAAACTAAAATCCTAAACAAATTGTCCGTCGAGTTAATTAACTTTTAAAATTGAAAATTTAAAGAATTAATTAAATTTAAATATAACAAAAAATAATAAACTTGAAAAACAAATTATGATAACAAAAGACTAATAAATACAGTATAACAGTATGTACAGTATAACATGAATATAAGTTATATTATAATTTATAACACAAATACTTTATATTTGTTATGAAAACATACCATTGAATTAATTATACTCATAATGTAATCCGCGGTTTCGATACCAGTCTTGGGCTCACATAGAGATTGTGTACTCTTTTGAATGCAATCCTGGAATAAATGAAAACCACAGCAAACGGCTGATATTTTAGTATCAGGGTCCATTGTCCTGATTAGATCCAAATGAAGAGTGTATCGATCCATACAGAGGTGCAACGGTTCCATTGATGGCTTCGGTAGAAAACATGCCGAATGTCTTATAAACTCTGTTTTACGGTATATTTATATGAATATAAATTATTATAATTTTTATTTGTTTTTTCTTCACTAACATAAGATTTAAGCAAGTAATTCCATGACACGTGTGTTAATATTATACATATATTGTATTTTATATAATAATTAATGATTAATAGTGAGCTTAGGATAAATCTTTTGCATTGAATTATAAGTTATTATCATATTATTAAAAGTAAAGTTAAAGTAAGCTTTATATATTCCATTTATGAAATTTTAGTTTTAGAAAGTTATGAAAATAAATCATTTTAATAAATATTGGGTTAAATACAAGAGAATGAATAAATGGACAAATTAAGATGTGGTAAATGTATATTAAATTAATAATTAGTATTAATACTAAGACCTGATCTGTCTTTTGTATGTCTGCATTGATGTCTCATAACAGTGCGGGAATCGTAGGCAAACATCCCAAACACCTGTTGCGGGAACGGCGGGAGACAACTCCGGGCGTAGTGTCGGATACAACGGAGCCCTTCATTCATACGACTATTTAAAACATACATTAAATGTAGACTCGATTGAGAGAAACTTGTGTTTTATAATTTCAAACAATTTATGCAAATAAAAGCTTTGTTAGCATTTATTAATGAGAATTAAGTGAAAGGTTGTGTAAGTATTTGATGTTTAAATTGATTTTATTATTTTATTTTGTTAAAAAAATATTTATTATATGTTTTATTAAATGGAAACTCATTTAAAATTAATGAAATCCAAAGGTCTCTCTATTCAAACACAATTAAAAACATCAAAGCATTTCACTTCTTATGAATCCCTAGATTTGTACTGAAAACTAAAAACAGAAACAAAGAATAACTAACTCTTAAGAAATATTGATTCAATAAAATAGAGTTTTTTTGTTCAAATATTTGTGGAAACATAATATTTTAGTCTATATTTTCAGTTTCAACACAAAGTGTTACAAAACTAAGTTCTCGATAGAAGGGGAAAAGACTGGGAATGATTGCGAAATACATTGCTTTACTTTACTAATCAAATATAGAAATCCAGTAATCATAAAAACTATTGCAACGATTGGTCATCTCATCTATAAAATGCACTTCAAGTCCACAGAAACTCAATACTTATTTAAGAGAATTGAAATGATTTGCATCCAAATTACTTCTTTCAAAACATGTTGTATCACAAAATATCTATACAATATGTACAACATTATCTCCAAAGCAAATCAAAAGTATATTTATGTTATAATTTGTGAAAATGCTGAATATTTAGGTTTTATATAACGTTATATGTTATAATGGATTTACACAAAAGACCAATTGAAAAATACCTGCAATAACTGTCCATTTGTTGTTCATCTGCGGGTATAATGTTATCTCTATCGCCAATAAACATGAGTTTCTTTGCACACATGTCTGCGTCCTCTACTGTCATATTGCACTTCGGTTTGATTTTTGCGGCCAAACATACATTCACTTCATTTGGTAATAATATATATTTTTTGATTTAAAATTAATTAATAATATATTTTAAATTTTTAAATCACTAACCAATTAATAAGAATCCTATTGGATATTTCATCATGTTAGGTTCAAAATCATCTATATGCAAATACTATTGGAATATAAATATTTTAAATAAATAAAATAGTTGTTTAGAAAATTCTTGGTTAATTCATTAAATAATTGTCTACTAATTTATGCCTTTTGTCACGAAATATACAAATTATATATTTTATTATTTAAATGAAAATCAATTAGTTTTGAAATCCTTTTAAATAAATAATTCTTATAATTATAGACAGCGTTTTATTCAACAATTTTATTGATTTTATTTTTTTTGTCATTCAATTTAAATATTTGCATTTGAAAGAAGTAAAAGAAGTGTTCATTATTTCAATGACAAATCTCAAATATTAATTTTTTAAACTCGATGGAAAATAATTTAATTAGTCTGTGAGACAATAATTGACAGTAAATATGGGTTAAAATGAGAGCGCAGTCGAGCGAGAAATATAATAGAATGCATAAATCAATTTCAAGATCTCTCTCTCTCTCTCTCTCACGAAAGGCGTCTCATTTGTTGTGAATCAAATGCTTATCAATTTTGTTGA